CAGTCGGGTCCTCCTGTCAGTTTTTAAGCAGACCCAATCAGATGCCCAATGCTAGTCTATGGATAGCCGTGTGTAAATAGCCTGGTGTCGGTTTTTACCTGGTTATTCCCAACTCCAGACAGGTACGGAAATACAAACGGATCAGAGATCCATTTCGCCGGACCTTATTGTGCCAGATGGGGGGATAATCTGATCACTAAATTATGTTTAAGGTCTGTTTCAAAATGTGCAAAGAGAGATAACACAAACACTTGCAGGCAATATCAAACTGTATATAACATTTAATTAAGTAATAACAAATAGATGTAACAGGATAAATATAATAAGAAACTTAGCTGCAGATAAGAGATAGGTTCTCCATGTGAGTATTGCCCGTTTCCAACGGCTTGGCAGATGATCAACCAGATGCGTACCAATGGCAGCTCTACTCTGGGATGAACTCACTGCAACTTTGGCCACCTTTTTAGTAGGAATAATTGGTAGTCTTGACCACTAGTATCCCTTTTAAAGGAGAACTATGGGGTCAGGGCTTTTCCCCATAGTTCTCCTTAGGGTAACGGGAGGATACAAACTAGCGTCCTCCCGTTACCCTAAGCTCAGTATACCGCGAGCTACAGCTCGTGGTATACTTAGCCACCACCAGAGCGGATTCCGACATCGATGTCGAGATCCACCCAGCTGCGTGAGTGACAGCTGGCTCTGCCTATCTAGAGGCAGAGCCAGCTGTACCTGCCCCCTCCCCCGTCCGTTCCGCCTGTCAGCGCTGGCGGATCGGAGCGGGGAGGGGGGAATCCAGCCTCTCCCCTGTCACGGCAGAGAGCCGTGACAGGATCGAGAGGTGAGCGAACGCCGGTATATGTTCGCTTACCTCCCGATCTACTGAGCCGACCTGTGACAGTCTCATTGTCACAGGTCGGCTAGAACTATGAGGTGAGTGAAAAGCGCTCACCTCATAGTTCTCCTTTTAGTAGAGATGCACCGATACCAATACTAGTATCGGTATTGGTCCCTATACAGAGTATTTGGGCGAATACTCATACTCGCCCAAATGCTCCCAATGCTTATCCTGATACTGGACCTTCTGGTATCAGGAAGTGGGGCAGCGAGTCATTACAGGCCCCCCGGCTTCCTGATTGGCCGGGAAGCCAGCTCCATGCTCTCACATCACTTTTATTCCACACACATCTAAGATAATAGTTAAAGTGAGTGCAGTACTAAACAAACCATATAGTAAAGTGCAAAAGAGACAGCAATGAGAAAAAGTGCTAAATACAGGCTACGTATGCACTATAAAGTGCTAAATACAGGCTACGTATGCACTATAAAGTGCTAAATATATCAAATATATAACTATAAAGTGCACAGTGTAACAGGCACAGCAATGAATAAACATTCTATATACAGAAGTATTTCCAAGCTGTGTATACAAATGAAATAATAAAGTGTATATAAATAAAGTCCATGTAGTAAATATATACCGTGTTTCCCCGAAAATAAGACACTGTCTTATATTTTTTTTGGCTCAAAAAAAAAACACTAGGTCTTATTTTCGGGGTAGGTATTATTTTTTCTTTTTAATGTATAACAATCCAAAGTTAATGCAAATTCAAATTAAATAATCCAAAATGGCAAAGTTAAGAATAGGGTGATCAGGGCAATCAGGGGTGTCGAACCTTTCCAAGAGCAATTTGGTAATCAATCACTGGCCAGAATGAGCGAAGCGCGCTTTCATTATCGATTCCTCACAGGCGGAGTGCATTTGGTATTGGATGTGGAGCATAGACATTTGTGTTAAAGAGAGGAAGTTTAGTCTGTCCCTCGGTTTGTCCCTCTACTTTCAGACTGCTCAGAGTAGCCTGGAGTCTGCACAAAGGCCTTAACCAAAGAAACATCTAAAAAGGTAAGAAATGTTTACAAAAAAACTTTTTACTATGTGAATGGAAACACATAACAAACATGTTGAAGCGTTTTCTCAAATTGACAGGAAATACAGTTTAAGCTGGCCATACACATTTACTTTTTTCTCTACTAGAAAAAAAAAACCTTGATTTCCCCATTCACGCTAGTGTGGATGGAGGAATCTCCCTCTTCCAGCTATTGTATTCAAGCAGCTGCGGGACCGTGGCTGCTTCAATGATTGCATTTGATTGACTGCTCGGCTGACGATTTTTCACCCAGCTCCTTTAGTTTATCATTATAAGTTAGTTAAGCCGACAGGGCCACCTATGACTGAACTTTCACAGGAATCGGACAAACACGAGCTATGTATGACCAGCTTTTGTGGATAAGGGTCTATATGTCCTTATTGTGTTTATGAGGTCCATTTCTGAAGCTGAGAGTTAGGCCACAATATAAGAGGTAGAGATGAGGTTGGTTTAATCTTGAAATAGAAATTAGAGTGTATTATCTGAGAGACAATATCCACGAATATTTTTCAGTGGCTGGGCAGTATGTAAGCAGCTTGGTTAGGCCACAATATAAGAGGGAGAGATGAGGTAGGTTTTATCTTTAAAAACAAATTAGTGTATTATTCCAGAGACAATAGCCACAAATATTGTTCAGTGGCTGGACAGTAAAAGTCTGTGTAGCCCCTATATAATATACATATATGTGCTATCATCACAGCGATTCCTGTTCCTAACTGTAAGGAGTTAACTTGTCCCTGTGTGTGATCTGAAGTGGAGATTTGTGGGGATTGCAGTGCAGAGCTGACACTGGGACGTTGCTAATAGAGCTCTTGTGAACTACGACTCCCAGGATGCTGTGCGAGAGGAAGGAGGAGGGCTATGTACTGCAGTGACTGAGCGTGCCCAGTCTGACTGGGGGATCTGGAGAAGACAGGTCTGTGTGTGGCACTGTGTGAATTAGGACTGCATGCAACAGAGCTGTGTGATTCCCACTGACAGATTGGGACACACAGAATCTGTACAGCAGCACTTTGAAGGACTGATGTTCATCTGCTGAACCAGAGAGACTGTGTTCGAGCGCCCGAACTGAGGCCTAGTCGCACGGCTGAACCAGCCGCCGGAGTGATACAGCCAGCCCAGCAGAGAGAGAGGGAGCCAGATGGAGCCAACTGAGAGGACTGCAAATATCCTGGATGGGTGAGGACCTTTTGTCGGGGACCCAAACGACTTCCCTCTACCTCGCCTGAACTGAAGAGAGAGAGAGATAGGACATCCAGTTCCTGCTAGCAGTCTTCATATCTTTCCAACTGACCTGAGGATTGGTGAGAGGCCTTTGGCCACGTTGACAACCTGTTTGCTGTTCATACCTGCACTACAGTAAGGGCCCCAACGCCGGCTAGCTTAGGACACCACTACTGGCCAGTAGTCTAGGAAGGGTTGGGCATTGCCAAAGGGAAACCTTAAAGGGACATACACCCCATTCAATGGAGGACATTTAAAGACAATTGGCCTTGTATACATCAGTGCTGACAGCAGATAGCTGCAGCTACTGAGTTGGAGAGTGCCTTAGCCTGCTGCTTAATATCTTTTCGTATGATTGTTGGGTATACTATTGCCATAGTTGCTTTCATATATTGTGTTATTATTAAATCTGCTATAAAACTGTTCAAAGGTGTGTTGGTGTGCTGTGGATCCACGATTTGGGCGGTACATTGGTGTAGGGGGATAGAAACTCCCGATCATTCAGCGGCTCTTTCGGGGGTGAGAGCTACATCTGTTTACTGAGGGTGGAGGGGAGTCAAACACTGAGTTTGTTTTATTACACGGGAATACACTGGTGTGTGAGTATTTGGAAGAAAAAATTGTTTTATACACAACAAGAGAGTTACAAGAGAGTTGATATCTGTTTGAGAACTGTCATATGATCTTTACTATATATTGTAAGAGGATGTCTGTAAAACCTGCCAGATTGGCAGGAAGGTATGTCGTTCCATGGTTTCTTAGATACCTGATTTAGGGTAAAGCAGTGTTTTTCTTTACCCAGTGTTGTTAAAAAAAAATGTACTGGGGCTGGTTTTACTGGGAGGCTGTTTTTTGGGAGGGGTGGACTCCCAATTCGGTGAAATACATTTTGGTGGTTGTTGGCAGGTCCTCATTAGTATAGCTGGACCTACGGTAGCTGTGTGGAAAAGATAGTGTCTGAATGTGCAAGGAGAGACAGGAACTGTGCTCTGTACTACTACTAAAGAAAAGACTATGGGGGTTCCTGTAAGATCAGCTTCGGCTGGGAGTGCTGACGGACGCGGATCGCGGGCTGTATTATCAGAGTGACCACCATGGCTGATGGGCCGTCTGTTACATATGCAAATAGCCATTTCCAGAAAGGTACCATTTGCACAATTAGCTTGGCAGAGCTCTGCGTGTTCCTGGGGAGAGAGGAGCAGAATTCAAAGGTGTTGAGTCGCTATCTCTGAAGCCATGAGTTATCCTGGTTATCCTCCAATGGCCGCATTCCCCCCTATCCCTACAGGAGACAACCCCTGGGGAGTACCCAGTAACCCTCCTTCCATTGGGCTGGATATGGGTGGATTCTCTCAGCAATACAACCCTCAGCAGTATATGACAGGACCAGGCTATCCAGCAGCTGGGTTTGGTGGAATGAACCCACCACAAGCAGGCTACCCCCCTGCACCTGGAGGCGGCTATCCCGCTGCACCTGGAGGCGGCTATCCCGCTGCACCTGGAGGCGGCTATCCCCCTGCACCTGGAGGCGGATATGGGGCACCACAGCAGCCTCAAGCACCAGGCTTTGGCATGTATCCTGCTCCAGGGGGTGGACCACAGCCTGGGATGTCTGGATTTGATACAGGATACCCAGGACAGCCAGCACCAGGCCAGCCACCAGCAACATACCCTGGTCAGCAGCCACCAGCAACATACCCTGGTCAGCAGCCACCAGCAACATACCCTGGTCAGCAGCCACCAGCAACATACCCTGGTCAGCAGCCACCAGCAACATATCACAGACAATTGTAATATGTTTTACTTGCACATCCCTTCAGAATAGTTTTAAATGCGTTATGCGCCTTTACAATAGCCAACTGCTGCTATTTGGGGCCCAGTTATTTTCTTTCTGTGGTTTGCTACAGTGCACCTGAATCAACAGCAGTAGTTTTATTGGATGAAAACACATAAATAATCCTCAGCGGCCTGGAAATAAAAATGTGTTTGTAGGACTATACTTATGTTTTGTTTTGGATAGAGTGGGGAAGGAATAGAAACTCTGTCAATGTTTTGGTGCTGATCCCCCATTGGGGAGATTTCTCCTAACTTCCTGTTTATTTCATAGGGTTCAGACAAAACAAGAAGTCAGGAAATCTACTCAGTGGACACAAACCAAAATAAAAACTATTTTTCTTGTACAAAGGCAAGAGTTAAAACCTCAGGTTGTGTTTTTATTGTGGAGACTTCCCCTTACGTCTGGTCTCAGTGTAAGGTGGTAGACGCAGGAAAACATGGAGAGACCCTAGTACAAAGATGGCTAGGAGAGCATTTACAATTTCTCTCCAACCCTTCCCTATCTAATCAAGACAAACTTTTTTTGGGTACTGTTGGGATTTAAAGCACAATAGTAGTAGAACAAAGTACTAGGCCCCAAATGCATGTAACTCACTGAAATTTTGTCTACACCTTACCATAGTGCAAAATGATAGGTGTATGCAGTAAGTCCATAACAGCCATTCAGTTGTTAGCCTGTAACAGGTTAGTGTAGACCTAAGTTTAAGTAGAAGCACTGTAGAAAAGAATACTCAGATAATTGAAAAGACAGTAAGAAGACATGGTGGACCTCATACATGGAGATGTTGTTCATATTCTTGTGTTTTTATTGTGGAGACTTCCCCTTACGTCTGGTCTCAGTGTAAGGTGGTAGACGCAGGAAAACATGGAGAGACCCTAGTACAAAGATGGCTAGGAGAGCATTTACAATTTCTCTCCAACCCTTCCCTATCTAATCAAGACAAACTTTTTTTGGGTACTGTTGGGATTTAAAGCACAATAGTAGTAGAACAAAGTACTAGGCCCCAAATGCATGTAACTCACTGAAATTTTGTCTACACCTTACCATAGTGCAAAATGATAGGTGTATGCAGTAAGTCCATAACAGCCATTCAGTTGTTAGCCTGTAACAGGTTAGTGTAGACCTAAGTTTAAGTAGAAGCACTGTAGAAAAGAATACTCAGATAATTGAAAAGACAGTAAGAAGACATGGTGGACCTCATACATGGAGATGTTGTTCATATTCTAGGATAGGATATGCAAATATCTGCTCCTCTTTTCCCCATCTAGGAATGGTTGTTTGGGAAGGTAGTGATGAGGATGCATGGACAGGAATAGAACTGTTTAGTCCCAGAATGCTTCAGGCCAGTCGAATTCTACTAAATGCACTAAATGAAGCCTGGTTGTAGGATGTATTCTTGTCATGAAAATCCTTTTTAAGCCCCCGTGTAAAGCTTTTTAAAATCTGATTATAAAGCAATGTTCTTGTACACACCACTTCTGTGTATACCTGCCATATGATTGGTATGTTTTCAGACAAACCTAGAACAGCCATAAAGACAAATCTCAATTTTTAATATATTATTTGTGTTTTTATTCTGTTGGGTAATGTCTCTAAATTGGTAATTCATTATTTGCACCTTTTACTCCTATTTGTTCACAGATATTGACTCCATGTTCTGCTGTTGCCAATCTTTGTATTGTAAAAAATATTTTATTCGCCTTTTGTTGTAGCTTTCACAAATATACCATGATGTGCCGAAAATTTATATTAATTTTACAGGGATGTTATAATATGATGTACAATTAAATACATTTACAATCTAAAAAAAAAAAAAAAAGACTATGGGATCAAAGTCTGTTAGGGTGACAGGAACCCCTTGATGCAGCTGTTCCCAGAGAGGAACATTACCTTGAAGAAGGCACTTTGCTTCTACAAGAAATCTTTGATCACTGTGTTTGCCTGATGAAGGGACCATGCTCGGTTCCAAAAAGTTGCTTTCTTGCCCTGTTTCATTATGATTGCCTAGCGTCTAAATAAAAGACATCCAGCATGTTTGACCTTGGAGTGCGGGTGACTATTTCAATACTGAGCAGAACTGTATCGTAGTATCACAGGAATCGCCAAGTTTTGGGGCTGCACAGGGTCCCTTCATCACGCACACTGTGTTTCCTGATGAAGGGACCCTGTGTGGTCCTGAAATGTCATGATTCCTGTGATACTATGACTACGGGCCAATAAAGATTAATCGTTTAAGGACTTTTGGTGTGGCGTGACCAATATTGTCCTTTAATGTGGTTTTGTTCACGCAATGCAACACTAAAATGTGTGTGGGCCCTAAAAGGCATGACGTACTGCAAGACGTGTGTAGACTGCCATTGTTGACCTCCTTCTGCTGCCTGCCACTGGCTTCCACAGTTTGAGTCACCCAAATGGTACAAGCATGCAGCCAATGGAGTCAAAACTCCCGATTCTGCACACTTCAGAAAGTACTCAAGCAAGTGCCTCAGCTTGAAATCCAGAGAACTAGCATTTTCAGAAGGATGTCAGCAATGAAAGCTTTCCATATTCCCATTATGAGGAAATTATTCCCTTCATTACCTGATACAATACAAAGATCTATAAAATGAGCAACGATCTGACATGTTTTCAGTTCAACATCATGAGTAAGGTTGTTCGCTGTAAAGTGTGCTCGTTGACCTTTCATCTTTGAAACAATGCAAGCAGTCGACCAAAGCGACTTTAAAAATTACTTTATGGCACATTAAAGGAAAAGTGCTCAGAACGAAAACACGTTATCATTCAAACTGCTGGCCATGCTACCCGTCTCCTGATCACACGTAACCTGCCGTGGGAAATAATGTGGCTATACATAAAAATATATACAAAATATCTTCTGTATTTTAGCAGATGCAAAAGCCTAGGGTACCGATGAAAAGCCAAAGATGAATAAAAGTGCTTTTTACTGGAACCATAGGCACAAAAATTTGCATTTAACCCTTGCAGTGCTGGGGAGCTCCACTGCAAGGGCAGTTTTTTTATCCATATTGTCAGTACTGTCACGGATCAGAGTTGCAGCTGATCTGTTATTTGTAGTTCTACAAACTTGTGTGTTACAGATCCGCAGCTAGCTGATCTGTTGCTTGTCGTTCCACTACATGTGCTCTGTTCTTACCTTGCTCTTCTTGCTCTGGTCTGGCAGCTTTAGGTGTCTCCCGATCTCACCTGCTAATTGTTACACTGTCAGTTTGTGACAAGTATAGTGGTTCCTTCCTATTGCTCAATGTATTTTAACTCCTCGCAGCTCACAGCTTGCTGGCTGAGCAAAGGTATCACTAGCTAGTTGCTGTGCCCCAGTGCCTTGTAGTGCCGTCAGCAATTGATTTTTCCTAGCTGTTTCCATGAACCTTCCTTTAGCTTTGTCTCCTGGTGATCCTCATCCACTGCCTGCCCCTGATTTATCAGGGGCAGGGATGATAATAGCACATGGATCAACAAAGTTGACTGTATGAGTACAGCAGCCATAGCCACATTGTCTCTGTCTACATTTTTGAAGCCGCACATACTTAACCCCTATAAACTTTTTTATGACACAGCTCTATCTTGCTGTAGCCCTTTGTATGTTGTTAATGCAATGTGTACCAATAACCTCAATATTTACAAGGACTAAATGTCACCATCCGGGTCGGCCTTAGGCCTTTAGGCGCCCTGTGCGAGAAAGCTCTACAGCGCCCATCAGTGACCACACCCCTCAGTTACCACACCCCTCAGTGGCCACACCCATTTCCCCCCAATATCCGCACCATTTAAAGACTCCCATTTTGTTAACACCAAAAAAACATATTAAAAAGTATGATAAAATAAAACTTTTATTTAAAGGTATTAAACTTGTAGGCACAATATAAGTATTCTTATTAAATAAAACAACAGAAGGCAAACAATAAATGTCACACTAAAATAGAGTCTATAAAAATAAAGTGTCAGGTTATCACGCCGACCGCTTTTTTCAAGTAAGTGTATCTAGAAAAGTAAAAATAAAAAACAGAACTCAAAACCCAGACTATGTGTAAAATTAATGAATGACTATATGTCCGAATATACGAAAATTTTATTCAGGCGCATAATAATTTGTTTGAGAATGTGCGGCAGCCATGTTGGCCACCGGCGTGTTCTGCGAATGCGTGCCACCATCTTGGAGGCGGGAAACATGATGTCACATGACGCCATGCATGCCAATGGCTGAATCCAAAATAGCATATAAATTTGTTTTGTTTGATGAAACGAATAATAAACTTATTTCG